GGTAAATGGAAGACTTTTTTAAAAATAAATTCTTCCATACAGTATAAGTTTAAACTTTTTTCTGTATGTAAATAGAGCTTTATTTTAAAGATTAAAATAGAAAAAATATTAAACAAAAAGTGAAAAAATACAGTACTATAGGATGTTTACAGTAGTGTTCTATGAGTAACAGAAATAAAGGATGCATTAGTGTATGTTCAAAGTTGGCTACATACATCACTTTTCCGTGTTTGTTTTTTCAGAAACAACAAAAATCAACTTTATTTTTAAATCTGTTCTAAATAAAATCTGTATCCATGTAATTGCAAACACTGTAGAAAATGGTTTCTGGAGAGGGTTTCAGCCTAGATGAACTAAAGTTTCATTTTTAAAAGTATAGGATACTAAAGATTTTAGTTTGATGTATATTAAATATAAAGCAGTTATATTTTGAGATAGACCTCCAATATATTGCCAAGAGAACCCTGGCTACAGGCTGGAAAGTCTTGTTTACAAACCAGGTACTGTCCCCAGAGAAAGGAGAATTTGAATTTGCAATTTGAATAAGAATATGAAACATCAATATTAGGTTCAAATAGTTAAGTTTAAAATGCACTAAATCACATATATTAGGTTCTAGTAGACATGAAGATAGACAGTACAGATGGAAGAAAAACTTAACTGAGAAAATTATATTTATTAACATAGGTTTTCAACATATTAGGTATTATGGATTGAATTGGGCCGCACCCCCCCCAATTCACATTAAAGACCTAACCCCCACTGTGACTGTATTTGGGGCCTTTAACGTTAAATGATGCCATAATGATGGGGCTATTTGATAGGACTCATGTCCTTTTAAGAAGAGACACCAGGGCTCTCTCACTCTCCTGTGTACAAAGCAAAGGCCATGTGAGGACACAGAGGGAAGGCAGTTGTCTACGAGCCAGGAAGAGAAGCTTCACCTGAAACCAACTCTGGAAGCATCTTGATCTTGGATTTCCAGCCTCTAGAACTCTGAGAAAATTAATTTCTGTTGTTTAAGCATCCCTGTCTGTGGTATTCTATCACGGCAGCCAGAGGAGACATCAGGAAACAGCCACCATTATTCCTTTCTAACAGGGTAGTGTGGTTTTGCATCTTGAGTAGCTCAGGTGTTTTGGAAAGAGCTTCCCATTACCCACCTGAGAATCCAGCCTCTTTGTGTGACATACACATTCATTTTTGCTGTGGCCCCACCAATCTCTCTAAGCCCATTTCTTGTCATTTTGCTGCCCTCACAATATGGAGCTATTTATAGATATCTATTCTACAACTCCATATCTTTCCTCTGCTCTGAATTCCTTTCCCCAATTTATGTAACTGGAAAATTCCCACCAACCTTCAGCACCCCAGGTAAGGGTCACCTCTTGCTTTGCACAGCCTCCCCCCAACTCCTCTAGCCAGTCACCACTCACTCCCTGGCACTAATTGTATCTGTGTTTTCTGAGCACTCCGTGTTTACATAGTAGCCTGTCACAATTATAATTTTGTTTACATGTTTCTCCCAACAGATGTGCAGTTTTTAATAACAAGGATAATGATGGAGTTTATTCTCTTTATTGAGTGGAGAAACTCAGAGAAAGTTTCACTAAAATAAATTGAGAGTCTCTTTCTAGGACAGGAGGGACACACATTTCAAGGGTTTTAATCCTTTCATTTTAGAAATACTATCAAGAGAGAGGAAAACCAATCCAGATTAAGTTTATTGAACATTTTCATCTGGTTAGGAATGCTTAGAAGAGTGAAGTTTTTTTTTTCATTTCATTAGTGATGTTTCCTCCAGTATTATTGAAATAGCCCTCATCAAAATATATGAAGGTCAAGGGCATTCTTATGCTTGAAAGTGACAATACTGAAAACAGTACTTCTGACTGGAAGCAAATCTAAAAAATAGATGAGGATTTGTGAGCAGGCAAAAGCCTAAACTGAAGGAACACTGGATCAGGAGCAAGGAAATCTGATTTTTCAGTTCATCATCTGCTACTCATTAACAGTATCCCTTGGTTGATACACACACACACACACACACACACACACACACACACACACACGTACCCTTTATCTATAAAATGAGGGGTTTTATAACAACTAAATTTTTTCCCGTTTTAACATTTTTTAGGATGTTCAATTGTTCTTCATCGAATTCTTAGGATTATTCTATATCACTACAGGATTTATTTAATGTAATTTAAACTTCATTATTTTAAATACACGTTATGATTTTGATACATGAAGCTGAGGATAGTCAGTACTAGTGACAGCACATGGTCCTGGCCCAAACCTGCTTGGTTAGAGATATATTTTACTGAATCACTCACCAACTCGTCCAAAAATGTGCTGCAGCACTTACAATGTGTCAGGCATCTATGCTTACTTAAAGAACTCACTTTAAAGTAAGAAATTAATCCATTCATGGTCAAATACATGGTCCTTTCAAATTCCAAAATGTCCTCTGATATAGGAATTGCTAGATCTTCATCTGATTCCGTGCTCACATGTCTAAACATCAGTGTAAAAGATTAAAATTTAAAAGTACTATGTCAAAATTCCTGGTGCTTGTACTGTCATAAAAGATGATCCAAAAAAAGAATAATAATTCAAAGTTATTCACCCCAAACTATTACTGCTTTATTAACAGCAAATCTTTAACAAGTAATAAGTAGAAGAAAAATTAAGAAACCTTTTTTGGAGGGGGGGAATGATTGTAGTCTATGTTTGGTTTGTATAAGAATTAGTATTTTCTTGTCAATATAACTATTTTGTTAATTTCAGTCATTATAAGTCTACAAATACTAGTAACTAATACTAATATCAAAATATTATTTATCTTAGAAATATTATGAATGAAAGTAATTTTCACTTTGAGGCAGAGTTTCATTTGAATTAATCAGAAGTTTTTGCATCTTCTTATTTATATTTCCAACTTTTGGTCAAAATAACTACATTGCACTGAATACTATTTGTGACTGTAGACCTTCTAAGAAATTCCACAGAGAAGAGTAGCCAAGGCAATTTGATAATATCCTCTTTTAACAGTTTAGAGCAGTCATGTGCATATTCTCTGACATCTGCAATTTCTCAAATTTTAGAAATTTTGAGCTCAAGCTTGACCCATTGTATCCTATCTTCATTACTAGAAGGTACACTGAGCTCACCAAAGAGTCAAAATGTTTGTTCAGTTTCCTTTCAATTCTCTAGCCACTCAGCCCCTGAAACCTCTGTTTTCTCTCCTAATCCCTTGTTTAGGTTCTAGATGAGACCTAATTGATCATTTGATTTGTACCCATTCTGTTTAACAACCCAGTCCACCCAAACCACGCCAGAACAAGAGTTCATAGGATAAAATATTGAAAATTACTCATACTTCTGTTTTATTGAACACAGTCCTCCATATCACAGTTTCCATACTGGATCCCCCACGTTCTACATTTTTTCACATTAACCTCAGTTTGGTAAAAATGATTTTATGTTCAGGATAATACCTACTGTGAGTACTACATAGTTTAAAACAAGGTACAAGAAAAGAACCCTAGAGTAAGAGTTAAGAAACAAAAGACTTTACTCCTTTGCCTCTGATCTCTATATGATGGGGGTCATGTTGCTTCATGTCACTAAGACACAATTTCTTCATCTATAATGATAACCCCCATATTCTTCACTGATTTGCTGCAATGAAAACAATAGCAGGTATGGAAATGCACTGTAATTCTCATGATATCAATATGGGATACTTTTATTGATTTATGAGATCTTTGGCTGAGGCTATATGAACTTGGACCTAACTAGAGGCAAAATATGGCACCACTGTCTAACTTTGGGTAATATGCATTACACCTAAACATTGATTTCATCATACTTAAGTGAGGATAATCCTACCTCACAGGATTATTGTAAGCATTTCATAACATATATATATATATAAATTCTTAGTCTAATGCTTGGCCCTGGTAAAAATATGCTAAAAAAAATAGCAATTTCAAAAAATGAGTAGAGTTTGTAAATTCATTGCTATCTTTATGTAATTCAATTATACTAATGAGAACTTTGTTAAATTATAATGTCTGAGGAATTTAAAATACTAAAGCAGAGCCTTGATCCAAATTCCTAATTAAATTCTTACATTTTAATACAAGGCAAATAGCCTTAAGAACATACTGTTAGGGATGTTTATGTAAACTGATCTAAAACATTTTTTCTCTTATTTATATATTTTATAGATGTAGATGAAGGAAGAACACAGAAGTGATACCTCAGTTCCCATCTCCTTTCATTAATTGATAAGCAATGATCACAGCTAAGAAAGCTTGTTGTACCTACAGGGAATGATGGAGATTTTTCCTTTCTCTAATTGCAACCCAGAGATTTGTGGCTGAGAAAATAATTGTTTCCTTTATTTAAAAGACCAGTAAGAAACAGTAAATAAAAGACCAGTAAGAAACCACAAAGAAACATAGAAACTATTCCCAGGGGACTATACTGTGTATGCTGGTTGGATGTATCAACATTGTCTGGTTTAGCACTACATCCATATTTTATGTGAGTTAGAGTGGAGGGAAGCCCCCAGAGAGTTGATACTGAAGGTGTCTCAGAAATTACTTAAAATTGCATTTACAGTTTTCCTTCAAATCTTTCAACTTACTTCCGAGAAAAAGAAAGATGTTTTGGCTATAGAATATATCTTCTAGCAGATGTCCATTACCATTTCCACGTGAAGTAAGTTTGCCTGAGGGACTCAGACACTCTGTTACAGCTTCGTAAAAGTTAAAATTAATATTCGACAAGTGTAATTTGTCTCTTGGCCTCAATTATCAAATTCATCATCTTGAACCAAAGTAAACAATGAGAAAGAGTGTGAAAGATGCCAACGAAATGAAGGAGACCAGGGAGATTGGGTTGACCTCAGTCTCCATCAGTTTCTAGCAAACCCTCTACTTCTTAGACTACTAAGCACCACAATGCTTTAATTTTCTCCTACTTACCAAGGGCTTGGTTTCATCTTCGTCTTTGAAATAATAGAGTTGATCTCCTTTGAGCACAAACCAACGGGTATGCCAAGTCTTGACAAAGCCTCCCTGCTTCCTCAGCCACCCACACTTCATGGCATTGTTCCGCCCTTGGCCTTGTTGGGGGTTCTCCATGGAGTCATTGCTCTCCTCCATTACCAAGCTGATGGACTTTCCTATTTAGCAAACAGACAACAACAACAAAAATAAGGTGCTCTGATATATTCAATTCCCTCTTAAATTACTCCTGTCCCTTAAAAAAAAAAAAAGCTGGAGGTAGGGTGAAAAATGTAAATTAACTCACATACCAAATTTCTAGAAGCAAACCACAAACCTGACAACAATATTCCTGGAGAAAACTTGGACAGAGTTCCTTGCGTCTTCCCACTCAGCTGTGAGATAGTATACCTTTTTTCCTAAGTAGACTTAAAGAATGGGAAAGTTCTAGAGATAATGGGTTAAGAAGTAATTTGGGGAAGGCAGCTATGCTCACCACTACACCACCAACGCAAGAGGCAATTTCTGAAGACAAACTAAAACCACCAACAAAAACATAACTCTCATGAAAATGGGCCTCTGTGTCTGGTGTGTACTGATTGGGACCTGTTTGTGCAGGCCTGTGATTATTTGAGCAAACTTAGCCTGACACATGTTACAGTTTAAAGGGACTATTTTAAAAACCTCAGTGGAAGACATTTGTTTTACATATGTAAAAATTTCTCAAGAGGTCTCTGCTCCCCTTTCCCCCAAAGTATCCCCTTGAGAGTTTCTTTGGCTGGTTAAGAATTAGTGCAGCTGAAAAAGCTTAAGAAAAAAAAAGAAAGGAAAAGAAAAATGTCCCGCCAGTGAGTCTCTTTCAAACTTCAGGAGTGAGTGGTGTGTTCCAGTCAACTGCATGATGAAGAAAATTTCAAGGTTATTGTGAAGGAATATAAGGTCATACACACTGTCCATAGCAAGCAAATTAATTTATCATAGAGGAAATATTAATCTACAGGTGAGAGGCTAAAACACCACAGTAAGAAGGTGGCTTTTGGGAGAGCCAGGGACAAGTGTTTAAGAACAAAAGACATTTTCCTGTCCTAAAGGCTTCCTGCAGGTTCTTGCCAATGTTTATTCCTAAGCACTTTTTCAGAAAGTGAAAACTACACTCTTACCCTTGTATCTTTCATGAGGATATAAGGATACAGATTAATTAATAAAACATAGATTACTCCTGTTCTGGTATATTCATGCACAAAGCTTCTATTTTTTCAGCAAGATTCCAGAAAACAAGCTGTCTTTCTATCTAGTCTTTATTTTCACTACTAATTTTTCAATTAATTTATGTGTACACAATCCTAGTTATAAATTCCATGAAGTTTCGACTGTCAGCCCTTGGCTGTTACGTTTCTTCCTTGAAGGTACAGGGTTAAACCTTGGACTTCTGGTTTCTTTGAATTTAGTCCTGCCCTTCCACTTACAGGGAAGAAGCAGAGCTAAATATTTCTTATTTTGACCATTTCAACCATCCTCTCAGGAGTTTTGCCACTTCCATTGGCATGCATTCTAATCTAGCTCCATCCTTGCTTTTATCGTCACCTCTTCAACCTACTTTTAATCTTCAGGTAGGTCACTTGACTGCCATCTATCTCATTCAATGTCCACTTTTTCCTTTCTTATCCTGAAACATCCTTCTGATGAACAGGCCCTCATCTCTACAAAACATCTTGAAACTTCCTTCTCTTCATAGGGCATTCCTATGGCAATCACCGCTCACTGCAGGAAACAGTCTCCCATCGTGTGTGTGCATGTGTGTGATGAGACTGGATCATGCCTGATGCTTCAAGTTTGTTATGCCCTTAGGGCAGGAACTTTCATCTCTTTTCTTTCACAGTACTTGACCTAGGATAAAGAGCCAAGTAAATCTCACTTTAAATGAATAATAAATGCTGTATCATAATTTAGATAATAAGTATGCTTACCTAGACCACTCTAAATAATATTTTTTGGTTTCCTGGTGTTTAAATTGTTCACATCTACAAAACTTGTTATCTCATCATTACCTATTTATTCTTTAACCAAATATATTAACTTATAAAATTGAATAAGCTCTTAAAACAATCCAACATACATCCACTTGCACACACACAAATCTAGAATTCATTGCACAACAACAAATTTTTTCTTTGCAGCCCTTCTTTTTTTCCCTCTCATATTAATTCTTTCCATTAAATTTGAAAAATCTCCTCTAAAAGGTTTCAAGGTAAATATCAACCTACCATCAATAATATAAAAAATACAAGTGTCCAATTCCACATTTGTCTACTATCAACCCTTAGTAAAAAAATGTGTGCACATTTGAACATGGTTTATGATTCTTCTTGCATGTGTTGTTTATAAGCCTAATGAAACCAATGACAGCATCACTCACTGAACTGCTGGCTATAATGCCCATATTTTCATGACTTCAGAATGCAACAGAAAGTGTTTTAATAGTACTAATTGTAACAATTCATTAAAACAGAAATGAAAAGAGATTGTATGATATCCCTAAGGGAAAATAATACCACAATTTTTGCTGGTTGAGTAAAGTTAAGTTTTACTAAGATAACCATAATTTTTATAGAGGAGTCTTGATATTTCTTCAAAAATCAAATGCTTCAAATTCTACCCTTCATCTTTAAAATAAGGATGTTGGACTGGATGATTTCCAACTATGGTCCCTTCTTGCACCCTGAAATCTACCATCTCTGTAATTCCATAAGCATAAGGACACCAGATATCCTCAACACTTAGTACAATATCTGGCATATGGTGAAGCTCAATCAATGTTTGATGAATTAATAAATTTTGCAATAGGTTTGGTGCTAGATATCTAAAAGTGAACATGATCTCCATCTGAAACCTGATCTTGCCCAACACCCAATCTTAGTAAAGGCTACCATGATATGACCAGTTGGAAAAAAGAAAAAGTGATCACTTTAGATTCCTGATTCCTCCTCACCCTGAATATCAAATGTACCTGTAAATTCAGAAGATGCCTCCAAAAAATATTTCAAATCTATCCAGTTGATTCCATCTCCATCACCAGTCTATTACCCAAGCCACCATTGTCTTTGACTGGATGATTCTGATGGCCCTCCAACTGGTCTCATTGCTGCCATTTTTAACCACAAACACAATGAAACATGCTCACACATGTTTCATTCTCCACAAAATAGCCAAAGTGAGCTTTAAAAAATTAAATCAGATAACGATTCTCTACTCTTAAATTTTTGATTGGTTTCCATTGTACTTATTTTAAAATCTAGAGTCTTAACCATGGCATACAAGGTTCTGAATCATCTGACACCCATTTACTGATCTAATCTAATCTCATACCATCACCTCCTCATTTCCCCGCATGCCACACACACACACACACACACACACACACACACACACACACTTAAAAGCTCTGATGCAGCAACACCAGGTTACTTTCAGTTCTGGAAACACCCAAGCTCCTTTATGCCTGGAGGGTTTTTTTTAAATTTATTTTTATTTTTTTATTATTATTTTTTTAACATCTTTATTGGGGTATAATTGCTTTACAATGGTGTGTTAGTTTCTGCCCCATAACAAATTGAATCAGTTATACGTATACATATGTTCCCATATCTCTTCCCTCTTGCGTCTCCCTCCCTCCCACCCTCCCTATCCCACCCCTCCAATGCCTGGAGTTTTGATGCTTGCTGATCTCTGCCTAGGCTGCTCTGCCTCATGCTCTTTACATGGCCCACCTCTTCTCATCCTTTAAGTCTCAGCCTAAAACCTACTACCTCCAACCACCATTACAAATCACCTAGTGAATTAGTTCCCCTCTTGTTATTCTCTATCACTGAATTCTGTCCTCTGTCTTCCTGACACTTCTCTAAATTGCTGTTTCTTTAGCTGTTTATTGCTGATCACCCCTGCAGGATCCCACACACTTCAACAGGTCAAGAACTTGCTTCTCCTCACTGCAGTATATCCAGTGCTTACTTTGTACTCAGCAAGCAATTGTTGAATCAAGGAATGAAGCTATGTAACAATCACAATAGAATTCCTACAAAGAATATTTTGGAAAGTTGTGAATTTCCATTTAATGCCTTAAAGAAGATGGTCTACCTTAAGAACTTGATTTTTTTTCCTCCTTTGACACAGAACACTTCAATTAACATGAAAATTGTTCTTAAACACAATGTTAAAATCACAAAATTTAAGTGAACTTGAAATTGCCCTTTCTGAAGAAATTCAAAACTGCACCTCTTAGCTTTGGCAGGAAATACATGTAATCAATTCTGGTTTTGCTTGAAGGAAAGTATGGTTCACTCACTCAGATTCTCAGAGAATGTTTTAACTGAATCTCCACTGGGAAAGTACTTTCCTGTGGTCAGGCCGTGGCAGCTGGGTTGTATATGAGATGCCAGTAGGACCATCGACCTCAGTGTTTAGCAAAGCAACAAAACAGTAACATAAATAAATGGTTACTCTAAACTAAAACAAAAGCAGAATTCAGTTAACTTGTGTATTCACAGCCTTAATGATAGCTACTGTATTATGCCGGAGCTCAAAACGGTCCCGTCATTTGATGGGCTAACAGATTTAAATTATTTTCCAGGGATGGAAACTGGTTTGTACATCTACTCGTATAGTACTTTTTTGCAACCAGATGAGCTAGGAACGCATGCTGCGAGTATTACATGGTGTGATCAGAAATGAAATTCCTGCTCTTAACAGAATTTTCTAGAAGTCCAACAGCCACACGCATAGGTATTATTTGTAACTTTGTTTCAACAAAGAACCTATAAACAGGCACATAAACAAAGATGTATCTAAATAGAATGCCATATGCTATAGAGCTGCAATGTGTTCGAATTTACCTACAAGATGACAATGTTCAGCAAACACAAGAGAACGGCAAAGGAGGAGGAAGCTACAGGGAAAGAGGAGGAGAGAGAACAACTTAAACCACGTTCCACCACAATGCCTCCTTAACACTCAATGAACATGTGCTCCCACATATGTGGGACCAGCGGGAGGTGCATTTTTACAGCCAGCATCAGCTCCCTCAGCTCTGGTGGGGAGAGTATCGCACCGTACACACATGATCCCAGAGCTTCAGAGTACACATGATTTCATACCACATGGCTGCTCAACACAAATAAACTAC